ATGCTGCTTGGCCTGCTGTGTTCATCCAGCCCTGCACCTTGTTGTCTCGGATTCTCCAGCATCTGCAGTTCCTACTATCTCTGATTCCGTTTGGGTCTGTCAACTTTAATCCCACAGCCATCTCATTCTACAGTTCTCCTTTTCAATTTGCTTTTTATTCATTCATAGAATGTGGGCATCGCTGGCTGGGCCCAGCACTTATTGCCCGTCCCTCATTGCCCCTTGAGAAGGTGGGGGTGAGCTGCCTTTGTGAACAGCGGCAGTCCATTTGCTGTGGGTTGACCCACAATGCCCTTAGGGAGGGAATTCCAGTGACAATGAAGGAATAGTGATATATTTTTAACTGAGGATGGTCAGTAGCTTGGAGGGGAATTTGCAGGGAGTGATTTTCTCATGTATCTGCTGTCCTTCTGACATTAATCATAGAATCACATAATACAGGAGGCTATTCAGCCCATCATGCCTGTGCTGGTTCTTTGAAAGAGCTATCCAATTAGTCCTACTCCTACTGCTCTTTCCATATAGCTCTGCAAATGTTTCCTGTTCAACATTATCCAACTTCCTTTAGAAAGTTCCTATTGAATCTGCTTCGATTGCCCTTTCAGGCAGCTGTGTAAAAAGAAAAAAGGCCTCCTCATCATCTTTTTGTTTGTTTTGCCATTTAAACCTGTATTTTGCAGTAGCCAGACACCTGTCAGACGAAACAATTTCTCCAAATTAACATTATCAGTTTTGAACACCTTGATTAAATCTTTGCTTAACCTTCTCTGCTCTTATCCCAGTTTCTGCTGTCCCTCTACATAAATGAAGTCCCTTGTTACTGGTAACATTCTGGCAAATCTCCTCTGCACCCTACCCAAAGCTTTGACATCCTTCTTAAAATGTGACCCTAGAACTGGACAGACTATCCCAAGCTGGAGCCTACCTAGTGTTCAGAGAGTTCCCATTCCAGCTGGTTAACATTCTGCAGTCTCTGCATAAGCCAGTCACCACTAAAATCTCTGAATCACAAAGGCCTTTCCCCACCCTGATATGCAGCTAGTTTCTCTGTGATCATTTCTTGTGGAGGAAGCATTATGTTCCAATTCACCTGACCAGGAAGAGTACAAAAACTCATAACAGAGACAAACCCATATTTCACTGGTCTATAACATCCCATTCTGACGCTGGTAAAATTCAGGAGTATTTCAGTACAACATTTGCAGTAACTATTGCTGCAGCAAATGACATACCTTGAGCTATAAAGGGTGTGTTGTCCACACACTGCAGGGTCGTTGGTCGTGGAATAGGTGCAGGTGGCCTCTTTACAATGAAGGCAGTACTTTCCTTTTTGTCTTCTGGTAAAATTAGATCATAGGGGTCTTCATCATCCATTGTTAAAGAATACGGATCCTCCTCACTCATTGCTTTCTCATCCTCTACCATTTTTGTGCACTCTTTAGCTGCTGTTAAAACAATTGCGATTAGTTTATTTCTTATTTTAGATCTTAAAGATATGAGCATATAAATGAACCAATCCCCACTCCATGGTGAATTGCACTGATAGTGAGTGAGAGTCCAATGAACAGACATTGCTAAGAAGCCAACTTCTTTTAAATTCACCTCATTTCAGAGAAATCAAGTTTACTGAAATTAGCCAAATTTGTTCAAAATTATGAAGTAATTTAAGAGCATATGGCGGAAAGTACTGTTTCCGGTGGCAGAAAAATTAATAACTTCAGCAGACTCGGATTTAAGGTGATTTGGAAAAAAAAAAGAAACATCAAAATGTAGAAAATAGGAACAAAAGTACGTCATTCAGCCTGCTGCGCTATTTAATTTGATCTTGTCTGATAATCCAACTCTACAGCCTGTTTCTGCTTTTCCCCTTTGATCCCTTTACCCAAGCCCTACATTCAACTCCTTCTTGAAATCATAACACGTTTTGGTCTCATCTACTTTTTGTGGTAGCAAATTCCACAGATTCACCATTCTCTGGGTGAATGGTTTGCACTGTATCCTTAGACTCTGACCCTGGTTCCAGACATCACTCACCATCGAGAACAGCTTTCCTCTACCTAATCTGTCTAGTCCTGTTAGAATTTTATATGCTTCTGTGAGATGCCCTCTCATTCTGCTGAACTCCAAAGAATATAATCATAATTGATTCAACTTCTCCTCAGACATCAGTCCTGTCATCCCAGGAATCAGACTTAATTCAAGTTTCACTACCTGCCGTGGTGGGATTCAAACTTATGTCCTGAGACCATTAACCTGGGTATCTGGTTTATTAGAGATAACAAAGTGTAGAGCTGGATGAACACAGCAGGCCAAGCAGCATCAGAGGAGCAGGAAGGCTGACGTTTCGGGCCTAGACCCTTCTTCAGAAATGGGGGAGGGGAA